ATAACGTCTCTCGTTCGCATTTCTGTTAAATTCAATGCACGACATTATACAGTCAGAAAGATGAGGAACTCGTGAAAATTGTATGCATATATCTCGTATATGTACTACTACAGTCACAATGTGACATGACAACCAATGTCACAATTGGCTGCATCAAAAACAACGATGAATCCAACTACAGGCAGGAGGTGGAACACCTGGAGAGCTGGTGCAGGAAGAACAACCTTCACATCAATGTGAAGAAGACAAAGGAGATGGTTGTGGACTTCAGAAGGAATAAACACACCTACCCCCCCGAACATAGGATGATCTGTGGTGGAAGTGGTCTCCAGCTACAAGTACTTGGGTGTGCAGCTGAATGACAACGTCAGCTGGAGCAACAACACCACCAGCCTGATCAAGAAAGCTCATCAGAGACTCTACTTCCTCAGGCGGCTGAGACGAACTGGTCTGAGAAGCTCAGTCCTCACCTCCTTCTACAGGTGTGCAGTGGAGAGCATCCTGTGCTCCAGCATCAACGTGTGGCATGGAGGCTGCACAGCTGCAGAAAGAAAAGTTTTGCAGAGAGTGGTGAAGGCTGCACAGAAGACTGTTGGAGTCAGCCTCCCCACCATCACAGACATCTACACCTCCAGATGCAGGAAGAGAGCCACCTGCATCATGAAGGATCCCACTCACCCAGCACACACACTTTTTGCCCCACTCCCCTCAGGCAGAAGGTTAAGGAGCATTAAGTGTAGAACCACCAGGCTGAGGAACAGCTTCTACCCTGAGGCTGTTAGACTCATGAATATCTAACCAGGAAAAATTGCTGTAATGCCACTTGGTTGTTGATATGTGCTGCTGACTGTCCATGATGCTGATCTCATGCTGCGGATTATTTCATGTTGAAATGTCACCACACACCAAAGAGGAAGTTGGTAACACTTGTTTTTCAAGTTGTCACACTCACTCACAACAAGCACAGACAGATGGAGAGCATTTCCAGTTCCCTTTTGTTGCTCTGCAATGGGGGGCAACTAAGCAGCTTCTAATCACTTGAATTAAAGTGGGAACAGTGGGAACTCTAGAGAAGACTGAGCTGAGATGAAGTATGGAACCAACATGAGTTTGAGTTTCAAGATAATTGGATGACTCTTGTGTTTTCAAAGCTGTTAACCAGAAACGCTTAGCAAAAATACATGAAAACCAAAGAATAATTTTAGAGAAGTTGATTTGGTATCGAAGTGGGTCATTTCCACGAACCATTAACTCAGCCAACCAATATGTAATGTGAGTGTTAACCATGGTGGTGTGATGCAGAGCACCTCCTTTTCTTTCTTGTAGTTGCAACTTGTGGCCTCTCTAATCCACGTAAGCTCGTGATGCTTCTCTAAATCCATCCAATCTGTTGCGTGCCTGTACTTAACAACCCGGCTTGATAAATCTGGGTCAAAAGAAGGTAGAGTGAAGATGCAGCTGCTGCGTGTGAAGACTTAAGTATATTTTCACAACTTTAGAAATAGATTTCGGATTAAGATCTTTCAGGAGTTTGTCAACATAACTGGACAGGAGCTTGAGGTTCAGAAGGAGGATTCGAAGATTTCGCACAGAAAATGGAACTACAAGATCGCACAAACAGCTACTGGAGCCAGTATTTTTGTGATCAGCCACAGATGGAGTTTGATGGAAGTGCAAGCCCTTATATTCTCAATGGTGTAGAGCCAGAGGAACATCTAGACCCATACTGCACTGTCTGGACTGATTGTGAGCCTGCCAAAGTCAAGAGGGGTCGATCGTTTGCCATGGATGCCAGAAAAAGACTTGATAGCCTGAAGTCTGGCTGTAAGTCACATTCACCCGTCTGTGACATGGACATCAAGTTATACAAATATAACATTGAAAAAGACCTGTGGGTTGATGAGGACTCACAGACAGAGCAGTCTGCTCTGGACCTGGTGGAGATCCTGGATTTAGAGGACAGCATGCTGGATGAAGAGAGCTGGTAGGTGTCATCAGAGACCTGGCGGTGTTTAATTTTTAACAGATAAGTCTAAAGGATTAAGGTAAAGCTCATTTGAACAGGTCAGGATAAGGACTTGGTTCATCACCTAAAGACAGTTTTACAAGTCGTTGATTTTTATGTATTTTTTTACCAACAGGTTATATGAGCCTCAAAGTAGGCAGTTGTTGGTGAAGAAGGAGTCTGCTCTCAGGTGGTGTCGGCACGTCTTTGATAACCCGAGTCCTGAGATAGAAGCAGCCCGTCGTGTGCTGATGAACAAGCTGGATCAAAGTTAGAAAGCAGCACATGTTCATCAAATCGAACTGAATTTAAAATACATGTGTGGTCACAGGTTTACCTTGATGCCACTCTTGTTGTTGTCAGGATCGAGATATGACTTCTACAGACCTGCAGCAGATTCCCATCATCCTTTCAGGGTCTCCAGTGGAGACAAAACGCCATTCAGCACATCACTCAGTGACTCCGAACGTTTAGGTAATGGTATCAGCAGAGCCTTGTTGGAACTTCTCTTTATATTATATAATACTCTAAACTTAATCCTGATGAATAATGATGCAAAAAAGAAAAATTTTTTTAAGTTCAAAATGAAAATAGCTAAATTCTAGTGTCATATCAGGGGTAGTTTGTGCACAAAAGAGCTCACAGTTGGTTCAAATGAATTAAGAGTTAATCTACAAGTAAAGAAATGATAATGAGATTTTAAAAAGGTGTTACTACAATGAACAGAAGGGTACACCTGAGGACTTGAGGGCTTGCACTTGTAAAATGAATGAAATCCTTTCAATCAACTCATTATTTCAATTTGTACTCTTAGATGTGAGCACATATTTTGTTCAGAGAGAGTAAAAATTCAAGAAATAACCTAGAAAAAGCCTCAAAAACTGTTTAGATTGCATCTTCATTTTGTAAGTTTAGTGGATTTCATACAAATCTTCTTTAGGAGAAGAAAACTAGGGAAGATATTGGTAGAGAACAAGGAACATTAACTTTTTTGTCAAATATGTGCATGTGGTTGTGGCGTACTGGTGTTTATTGACGATTTTACTGCACAAAATCTCAGCTGAACATGAGCTAAAGTAACTTTTATCATCTGATACATTAAATTGGTTAAGTAAATTAGTGCAAAAAGATCGTACAACAAGCGAAAGTTGATGGTTTAACACCTGCAGAGTTTCTATTTGCTCTGAGCTGGCATAAATCAAGTAAGCTGAGGCTCAGACTTGACTCCTCAGAGCTGTATCAGTAAAAGTGGCACTCCTAAAGGAGTGCATATCACCCTCTGCCTTGCATGCAATAGTTTTAAGCAAAGATTTACTGCAAAGATCTGTTGGCACTCACGATATGTGCTGAGAATGGCTCTCATACTGCCAAATTTTAGCTCTTTGTAAAAATTACTGTGTTGTAGACATTTTTTGTTTGTTAAGGCTGATTAGCTGCGGTGGCCATCTTGAATCAGGTTGACTTGAGTTAATCAACTGCAGATCCATTTCATACTTTCTGGGAGTTTGATTCAAATCTGTCCGACAACAAAAATGAACACCCAGAGACAAACAAGGACTTGATCACTCGCCTTTCTTTGCTGCAGATGCTAAGTATTTGTTTATTTGCACAGATCATAATGAGGTGAACCTCTCCCACAACTCCATAACTTCAAGCTACAGACTGCAGGATATCGCAGACGTCCACATCTTGGCCAAAATACAGGAAAACAGTGAGTACTGAAGAGTATTCTGTTCGTTATCGCTGGTTACTTGAAGGCTAAAACTTGTTTTTATGTTTTTCAGGTTTAAGACAGGAATATGTTTCCATTCCTTCTGCTGCTTCATTCAGGAACAATCTAGAGATACAAACAGACTATGACTTTACTCCTGAAAATGAAACCAAGGTTTTATCTTCTTGCCATGAAGCTGCTCCAACATTACCGAGCTCTTCCAGTTGTGAGTCACCTACATCAGCATCTGAGCAGGGCTGCCAAAGTCCTAAACTGGGCAGACTTCACCACCAAGTCACCCAGTTCAAGCTGCTCAGACTGGCTCAGAATCCAGGTAAAAATTAGATGTGATCTGTTGAATTCATGCAGATTTTTAATGGACAAATGGGCAATGCACATTAAAAAGATGTACTGTTGCTGGTTTTGCGACTGGCTAGAGTTCCATCACTAGTTCTTGGCAAGTATAGAAAAGAATACAGTACATTTAAATACAAATACAAAGCAAAACCTTTAAATATAAAGACTAAAGTTAAGCCAACAATACTCTTTTATGACTTGGACAATGGCAAAGGTGCTACATGAACTATTTTTGAAGCAATCTGTAATTCCAATTTGACTTTTCCAAACCCAATATTTTATATACTGAGTATATAGCATTACAATGACAATACTGTAGTACTCTTATACACTATGTTTATGGCCTGATTATAGTGATTTGATTGGTTTTAAAGTTTTTTTTGAAAGGACATTAGGAGTAGATCCAAGACTATACATATATAAACACATAATTGATGCTTTCTCACACAGTACGTTTTTGAAGTAGCATCTTTGTGATGTTCTCGTTGGACCTACAATATTTAATATATTGAACATAGTTGACTTTTTTATTATTTACACACAAAAATTTGGGAAAATCTTTTGGTCAGGCTTTATTGTCAAATGCATTGTGACAGTTAACATTTAGTGAGGCATGAAAACTGGAGCAGACTTTATCTAATTTACATCACAATAAGACCTACTTGATCAGAATCTTACCCACATGATTGCATCATCTACATACATTAAAACACCAGCATTATAACACACCAGCAGAAAATCATGGATGCACGAGCTGAAAATCAGAGGTCCAACTCATCCTTGTGGTATGCCTAAAAGTACTGATAGCCCACCCAATGGAGACATACTAATAATCTAAACACATTAAGAACTGCTTTATTGATTGTAGTTTAAATATGTTGTAAGGCGTACAGAATGATTGGTGATGACAGGTTGATAATGAGGTAAGTACAACAAAAGTATTACACAAGGCACATTATACGACCGTCGACAAATCTATACAGCAATATAGCAACGGCCTGAACAAGCAAATACCTTGCATACCATTTGACCTTGGAGAAGGGATGATGAACAGTGTATACAACACTCCATCTAGGGATGATGGATAAGTGTATAAAGTTAGTTAAAATTATCTTGAGTAGATCAGAAGTTATGGGAGGGACAAGAGAAAGTTTACAGATGTATGAATGTACAGAAACTATACCATAATACGATCACCTTTCGACTGCTGCTTCTGCCATATAGGAATGAGTTTCTGATAGTTTTATCATCCTATTTTTAGCTTAGTTTATCCAACCTCCCATTTTTCTACTGCTTATCCGTGGTCAGGTCGCTGAGGCAGCAAGTTTGAGAGAGAAAACCTGCCATGATTCACCTCAGCGACACACTTCAGCAGGTATTCATGGACGGAATCTCAAGGCACAATCATGGAGGGGAGGGTGTCAAGTTTGGGAACCTTAGGGTGTCATCTCTGCTTTTTGCAGAGGACGTGGTTCTTTTGGTGTCCATGACCTACAGCGTGCACCAAGGAGGTCAGATGCTGAGTGCAAAGCAGCTGGGATGAAAGTCCTCTATCTAAGACTGTGGTTCTTGATTGAAAAAGGGTGGAACACACTCTGGCTTGGGGATACATTCTTGCCTCAAGTTCAAAATATATGGGAGTCTTGATCATAAGTGATAGGATGGAGCGGGAGATGATCAACGTATACAGGCTTTGTCTGCAGCAATAATAAAGTTGTTCCAGTCTAACAAAGTGAGGAAAAAGCTGAACTGGAAGACAAAGCTCTCCAACCCTCACCTATGGTCACGAGGGGTGGATCTTGACTAAAAGAACAAGATCTTGGATGCAAATAGTTGAAACGTTCCTCTGTAGGGCAGCTGGACACAGCCTAGAGATGCAGTGAAGAGCGCTGTCATCTAGAGGGAGCTGTGAGTAGAACCACCGCTCCACATTGAAAGGAGTCAGTTGAGGGGGTTCGAGCATCTGATTAAGATAGACACCTCCCTTTGGAGCTTTTCCAAGCATATCCCTCTGAGAGGAGAGGGGACAGATTCAAAACTCATTGCATGGATTATTAATCCTTCCAGGTTTGGGATTGCTTTAGAAGGAGCTGACGTTTGTCACTGGGGAGAGGTATGTTTTATACCATATAAATCTGTTGTAAATGTTAGAGTGTAGCTCAAGTTCTTAAAAGGAATGTCGCTCTGTCGTCTTCTCTCAGATGTGACTCTGCCTTGTGTGTTTTCCAGACGCATCACCTGGCAGGGCAAGGTCACGTCTGGGGACAAGCCTTCGCTCCCTGCAGGCCGTCAGGAACAGCCGAAGTTTAGAGGTTGATGATTATCAACCTGCTGACCCTCAGTCAGGTTTGTTTCACTAAAAACATGTAATGCAGCACAAACACAGCAAACGGCTGATTTACAATTCATTGCTTTCAATCAAAATCTGTCCCCCAGGTGTGTCATCTCCCAGAGGAGGATCAGGCCACTGTGGGTCTCCATCACTTCCTGCATCACTGAACTCCCAGAGCTCAATAAGAGGCACACCAGCCCGGATAGCAGCCATGAAGAAACTGCAGAGGTCTCAGTCTCTCAGCCCCAGCAGGATCGCTCACCCTGCGAAGGCTTACCTGTCTGCTGCTCACGGGCGGGTTTTCGCCTCACCTGAGAGGCCGACCGCTGCAGCGTGGGGCAGGCACGTGCCATCTGTCTAACAGAGAAAGCTTTCACAGATACAAATGTTAACGGAGTCCAAACACGAATGTATTTAGATATTTTGTTTTAACTGCATGCAAGATTAAAACAAGTGCTAAGAGTTTATATGTTGCTCTGAAACAATACTGACTGTGCTTTGACGTTTCTGTTGAATAAACCAAAATTTATATTATTTCAAGCAATATATTGATTTAACTTGTATAAATGTCAAGACTAATGTGAGAAGCTGCAGTTGAACTTTACATCAGTGTGGCCAACAGCAAGGTCTGCTTTTAGCAGCTTCGTTTCAACAGGAAGCGTGCAGCTTGACATGGTGGAGGAGAAACCAAATCACTGAACGCTAAATGGTAAATGGACTGTACTTATACAGCGCCTTTCTATCTTATTTCAAGATACTCAAAGCGCTTTACACTACAAGCTGTGCCTCATTTACCCATTCATACAGCACTCTACTAGATCTCTACAAAGCTAATGGAACAAATCATTCTAAAGAGACTACTCAGTGCTTTAGATCACATTCATACACTGATAGGACACACATCAGAGGCTATGAGGGGTTCAGTGTCTTGCCCAGTGACACTTCAGCATGTGACTGCTGGTGGATTCGAACCCCCCACTCTCACAATGGAGAATGACTGCTCTAACCACTCGGCCACAGCCGCCCCACAGCTGCAGAAAAGGAAGTGTCACTACCAGGAAACAGAGGTGTGAGTCTGGTGGTGCATCAGAATATAAACTGTTCAGTGCAGATGTGATGAAAACATTCTGCAACATGATTTTACAGCAAAAGTTTAAGCTCTGAAGGCTCTTGTGTTCTTGTTGACTTCAACTGAGACATTAGTACGGATTACCATCTTTCATCCATCAATAGCAGATTTACCAGTTTCTCTGATATCTGGTGGAGAACTGCTTCAGGCAGATAAAAGGGGCAGCAGTTGGTAGAGTTGCCACCTGATAGCGAAAAGGTTGCCAGGTTGAATCCTGGACAGGGGGCCTTTCTGGGTGGAGTTTGCATGTTCTCTCCGTGCATGTGTGGGTTTTCTCCAGGTACTCCAGTTTCCTCCCACAGATCAAAAACATGCATGTTAGGCTGATTGGTAACTCTAAATTGTCTCTAGGTGTGAGTGAGAGTGAGTGAGTGATTGTTTGTCTCGTTTGTCTCTATGTGTCCTTGTGATGGATTGGAGACATGTCCAGGGTGTCTCCCGCCTCTCACAGAGTGACATGTGGACATGGACACCAGTGACCCAAAAAGGAGCGGGTAAAGATAATGAATAATAATATAATAATAACGGAAAAGGATGATGAAAAATCAAAGGTCAAGAAAAGTTTGTAGTTGGAGTGCCATCTGCTGTTCTTAAAACAACTTTGCCAAAAATAAATAAACAGATGAGGAAAAAAAAATCCAGAGAAAATGAATGAGAATTTTTTTTTTTTTAAAGAAAACTTCAGAATTTTTTAGTCCAAAGCATTTGTAAACAAATTTTGTGGTAAATATTCACAAGCAGCTATTTTTGATTTCACATTCTCTAAAGTGGTGGTGACTTTTATATAAAGATGAAATGTTGGCCATTCATCCCCCCCCACAATCAATCTATATATATACACATCTATATATATATATAGATGAGTGAAAAGTAGCTTCAGCAGAAGCCTGAGGTGTCATACTCATAAAAACTGTTTTTCCTTCTTTCAGCTGTACCCTTCCTCAGGGGTCGTCACAGCAAGTCAATTTACATGAAGACTTGCCGATTGTTACGCTGGATGCCCGTCCTGATGCCGCCACAGGCCCCTGTGAGGAGCAGAGCTGCCATCTATGGCACAGATGATGGGGGTTGGGGCCTTGCTCAGGGGCCCAGGTGGGGCAGGGGCGTGCTCCACCTTTCCCACTCACATTCTTGATGTTGTCGGTATGTGGGAGTTAAACTGGCGGCCTTCCACACAGACTCACATTCTTTAACCTCTGCGCCACCTCTCCTCCGTCAACATACTCATTTATAATTAGGGACCATAATTAAAAACTTGGGTCTGATCAAACTTGGCCATTTTCAGTTCATATTTTAAGTCAAGTCAAACGCACGGCATCTTTTCTTGTTTGCGGGTTCCTCAAGAGTTTGATCCGTCTCATTTGACGGTCTGTAACTCCAAATGTCATCGTGTTAAACACCAAAATAACTTGGAAATGTAACAAATCACAATCCTGCGGTTCTTAATCCTACTAATTTTTCATTTTCCTGAGCGGTTTTAGGTTTAAGCTGCAGCTCCTTACCTGCATTTAAACAACCTGTTTATGTCTATAACTGACTATATTGTAGTACTTTAAAATAATAATCCAACACATAGGAAGGTTTAAGAAACCAAAAGTAATTTTACATTGAAAAGATAAAACTTTGTGGAGGTGAAATTAAGTTCCTTTTTTGGTAGCAAAAAACATAGTTTTATTATAATTAATAAATGCATTATATTTTTTACCCAGACTGTCAGGTAGAATCATGTTTAATACTTAATGTAACACATTAAACCGTACAAAATAAGCGAGCACACACCTTCATGTGAGACCAACATGATGATGAAGAACTATTCAACAAATAAAAAGGCCAACTAAAATTTACAATGTGTTACTTTGTAGCCTGATAGCATATCAAACATTAAGCATCATTTACAAAATACAGAATATACATATTTACTGTCTACTATCGTAAACGTGGGATTACGGCCACCTTTATGGGTCCTGCACAGACACACACAAAGAAAGTAAGCTTAGACGTCGGAGTCCATGTCGCTGTCTCCTCCGATGGACCTGAACTCTTCGCTCTCTTCGTCTTCACTTAGCTGGACCTGGGAGAGCACAGCTGGACCTCTCCTCCGTGCTTCATCTTCTTCATCTTCCTCCTCCTCGCTGATGCCGTATTCTTCGCCATTTCCCATGCTAGAAGGCGGCATCTGACTCTGACTCTCCGTCTCCTCGTAGCTGCCGTAACTATGACAAATAATGAGATGTTTCTAACAACAAACTAGGATCAAAGTTAAAAAAATGCCACATTGCAAGTGTAATTAAAAATAAAGAAAAATGAAGTGTAAATTTATAGCTTTCTCCTTAATTAAATAACCTTTTTTTTTTATATATTTGAATGAATCATTTGGCTTTCTCTGAAGGAAAAAAGAGAAGTGATGGTCTGTTGTACCTGATGTTGCTGTCCTCCATATGTTCGTTCCCCTCCCCTTCGTACGACATCATGCTCTCATCCTGCTCCATGCCCATCCGGGCCGTCTCCTGAGCCCTCCGAGGAGGCAGGGGTCGTACGACGACCTCCCTGTCAGAGTCGCTGCCACTCTCTGACAGCTGTATGGCTGCCAGGACACAAAACACATCGGGACATTTTACACCTGGTGACATGGAAACTTAAAGAATGTCACTGTCGACTCAGTAAAGAACAGAAATGTATTGAGTGTTCAATACATTAAGAGATTAAAATTTTTGAATATATCTTCTATTTAATAGAGGATTATTTCTGCCTCGACAATGTTTGGTGGGCTCACAGGAGAAAGGGTTGTCTCCTTCCTCTTCGCTGGCGTCATCCTCTCCGTCAGACATGAGCAGGTCCTGATACAGCACACTGGACTGAGCCGGGTGGTTAGATCGGCCATGTTGTCTCTGCTCATCCTCATCGTCCTGGCCGTGTGGACGCCTGCGGGGCGGCAGCAGCATGTCTTCATCATCCTCATCCTCCAGGTCTCCTTCAGCATCTTCAGCCTTAAAACACACAGAATTAAAGGGTAAGTTTTAAATTGCGTGGTTTTAAAATGTCACTAACAAGAACACCAAGTATTTTGATCATTTTGTTCCTGCGTTTTGAATTTCACACAAATGAGCATGACTTTGCTACCAGAGGAGCTCCACCCATTACTCCTATTAAAGTAACACTGTTGGCAAAAAGCTACAAGACGTATCTAAAAAAGTTAAATCTGGTCCTCTGGACATTCAAAAAAAACAAAACAAAGCAAATCAACAAAAAAATGTAGAAACGTTTCATCTCTCATCCGAGAGACTTCCTCAGTCTGAGGAGCTGTATTCAGCTCAGTCTCTTAAATAGCACCGTCTCAGGGTAAATCAACCAGTTTTGCTGCTGACAACCAAAACCAGCTGATCACATGCTCAAGAAGGACCTCCACGGTGGAGGCCTCCGGGTTCAACTGTCCCCCTCTTACAATGCTGTGATTGCTAGTATCACTCAGCCCTCTGTGAACAGTAAACAGCCATCAGTGTGCTAATGATCCATTGTTAGGCTGATGGTCCTTCTTGAGCATGTGATCGGCTGGTTTTGGTTGTCAGCAGCAAAACTGGTTGATCCGCCCTGAGAC